GTACAGATACCAGTAGAGAGCCGCCGCTCAGGCCACGCGAGGTTAATAGGATGAGATATATAACATATATAGCATATCTTCGAGATATAAAGCATTCCAATGAATTATGCCCGACGCGATGCATTATGAGAATGAAGGTCGATGGCCTGCCTCTACACCTTCCTCTCTTTAAAAAACTGCACTGTGCTCATGACACTGACTATCGTACAAACGAATAGTAATGGCTATGTTTGACAGCATTTGTGGCTAGATGATGTTAAGTAAAAGAGAACTGCTACCTGGCGTTTTTTGTAATTTTCCATCTCGAAGGGCAACATCTTCAAATGCCCCAATAAACAAAAATAAAATCAAAAATGGTCATATGTAAGTTTTGAAAAACGGCATTTCAAAGCCAGTGGTAGGTATGGGAACTGAGCTTCACGATCCCGTTCTCGCCTCTACAACCAATTATCCCTCATCCTTTTGTTCCTTGTGTGAATTACTTCTATATGCTTATGCTTACTGTTGAGCTGAACGACCAACATACCACCTTCAACGCCTCGCCGCAAACATTATAGTAAAGGCACAAGGCCCTTCACTCCAAGAAATCTAAGTTTTGTCGGTTGCCACATTTCTCAGAAGGCACCAACCGATTCTCACTGCGTTTTTTAAAGGCCATTTCTCTAACCTCTTCTTTCATGTAATGATTGCCCTTAGATCGATCGTCATATAACAATAAATTTCTTACTATTGGGCTCTACCAGTATAGCTGTGCTCAGAGGCGCCCGAAATGTGCTCAGCGACGACCGAAATACTACACTATACTATTTATTACAAGCAATAGTCGTGTGAATCTAACACAAACAACGAAACAAAAAAAAACAACAAAATTATCATCACAACGCTGTAACTGCGCTCTAACACTGTCAAGCAGCACAATAAAAGAAACAAACCCATAATCAAATGGAGGTAAGAGAATGCTTGGAAATACCAAATATGTGAAGAGTAAGGAACAAGGGCTCACAGGAAATATCCGAGCTACTCTTTGAATATTTCTTGTAGCCAACATGAGATGAAGTAAAGATGGGCTTTTTATGCTTAATTTATCAAACAAGAAAGCCACTCTGTGTTTGAAGAAATAACGTCTACAGTTCAATCTAGCTTTACCGACATCCAAATTCAAACTATCGCCTCTATTATTAGAGGGTCTCAGAGTCAAAACTGACTTAGATCCATGCTTACTTTACCGTGGAGGAGCTTGAGGAATAATCGCAAATCACTTCTCGACTGCAATGAGGCTAAGCAGAAGTTCTTGTTCCGGATTTCGCTAAATGGGATGGTCATACATGAAACCTAGAGGGCTTATCAATAATTTCCTCGTGAAATTACTCTGCACTGACTCTAACTTTTTAATTATTCTGAGCTTGTAAGGATTTAACACTGGAGTGCCATATTCAAGCAAAGAACTAGCAAAAGACTTGTAAGCACGCTATAACAGTGGAGCACTAGCCGTCGACAAGGCTCTGAATAAGTTTTATATTGCAACTGCTGTTTTCTTCGCGATTGCCTCACAATGAGCTTCAAAATTCAGATCACTACGAATGAGAAAACCGAAGTCAAGTGTCTGTCAGACAGCCGTCAACGGTGGGTTAATGTAGTCGTTGTGAAGCTTATAAGATTTGCCCAGATGCAGAACCCTAGATTTGGGGGGGGGNGGGGGGGGGACCCTGTCGAAGGCTTTACGCAAGTTAATGTAAATCACATGTACTGGTTTGCCTTCGTCCAAGCACTTGTCCAATGATTGAAAGACTGAATCATGGAAGTGACAGTTGGTCTCCCCTTATGGAAACCATGCTGGTTAGTTGATATGACATCATATTTTTCCAGATGGTCCAAGATTCGCTTTTTCAAAATTTTTCAAAAAGCCTGGAGAAAATCGACGGTGTGCCTACACCTGGAGCTTTGTGGAACGTTGTGTGGAAGTTTCTTCGGGATAGGCGTTATGAAATATTGCAACCAACGATATGGAATTTCAGCATTCATAAAGCTCAGGCTGAAAATGTGGCCAGAGTGGTACTTATAAGATGCGGAACCCTTTTGATGAACGAAATCGGTATAAAATCAGGTGTGAGTGACTTCGATTGTACACATTTGTGGAGCAGTTTGAAAATATCATCACGATGGAACCAAACGAAGTCATCCATTGTTGGGAACCTCCTACCTAACGACATTTCACACCGCTCCTCATCAGGAGAGCAAAAGTATTCTCAAAAGGAGGACGACAATAGCTGCCGTCAACAGAAAGAAGAGTAGAAACTTCGAACTTCCGACTTAAGCTTGACCATAGGAGCTTGTAGAATGAATTCTTGTTACCTGAGTCAATGATCCTCCTCTCCACGGATGCATGCTTAAAACATCTTGACTTTTGTAAACGATTTTTTGTTAAAATAGTTAACGTCAAATTGTCCTGTGGATCTTTAGCGATTTGAGTCTTGCCCCATGCTCCCGGTTTTGGGGTTGAAGTCACCAACGATGATCTTGATGAAGTATGGTCCTCCCTCTACTGCTTTCTTAGGCCTATATATTCAAACTGTTTAAGCTCCTCTTCGTCGTGGCTTGATGTTTTTGCACTGACAAATGAAATTTTAGAAGCCGGGTTGATCAGCATTTCCCATGGATTTGAGATCACGGAGAACAGATTTGAGTTGCCATATTTCGGTAAGGGTAATCATGGGCCAGTGCGCATTGACAGTTACACCTACGGCTCTGACGCCTCTGCTATCACATATTCTAAGAGACAG